ACTGTGAAATCTTGGGAGGCAAGCATTACAACTGTAAATTTATCCTCAGCCTCAAGCATGGCCTAAAATATAGTTTTATATTTTGTTGTTCATGAGTTGCTTCCAACTCAGTGACTCTATGAACAACAGACTGAAACTTTGCCCAATTTTGCACCATCTTCACAATCTCTACCATGCTCAAATCCACTGCAGCAGTCATCATGCCAATCTAGCTTGAGGGTATTCCTCTCTTTCACTGACCCTCCACTTACCCAGTATGATCTCTTTTTCCAAAGACTGGTGCCTCTTAAAAACATGCCCAGGGAGCTCTGGTGGCCTAGTGGCAAGAACCCTGCACTGCAATCCTAGAGGGTCACAGTTCAAATCCACTAGATGTTCTGCTGGAGGAGGGACAGTCTCTTTTCATAACAGTCAAATCAAATCTAATTTGACTGTATATGCACAAAAAAGAATAAAAAGTTTTAAAAAAATTTTTAAAAAATGCCCAAAGTATGTGAGTGCAACCCGTGTTTCCCTTTTCCCATGTCCAATTTGTTTATTCTTTTGGAATTCTGTGAACGTATATTCAATACTTTTTGCAGATTCTTTAATTGAAAGCACAAATGAATGAATGTGAGCAAGGTGATGTTGAGAGACAAAAAGGGGTTTAAAATGACCCAGCAATTTTCTGGCACAGAAGGCGACTAATTTTATTATTACTAACCGTGGTAATATTTCATCTCACATAACTTTGGGAGATCTCAAAAGAGGCCAATCTTTGGAGGACATGATACTTGGAAAGTAGGATTAGCAAAGAGGGTTAGCAAAGAAGAGGTAGACCCTCCACTAGATGAACTGACACAGTGACTGCAACAATGGGTTTTACGCATAGGTGATTGTGGCACAGGACGGGGCAAGGCATAGAGGTGATTGTGAGGATGGCACAGGATTGGGCAAGATCTGGTCTACTGTATGCTAAGAGGGTTGAATAGTGAGAGAGATGAGCCGCAGTCTGGTAGATGATGCCGCAAAACAACACAAATTGAGACTGTTGTTGAATACCAGTCCATAGGAGACCCTCCCACAGGTTTTCAGAGCAGTTAATCGCATGGGAGGAGACTGCCCATTCTTCTCTCGCAGAGTAGCCGGTCGCCTCGAACTGTAAATTGCAGCGCAGCCCAGGACCACCAGAGCTCCCTGAAAACAATTTCTCACCTAGGAGAGAATAAATTCGGTCTCCCGAGGGAAGGTAAAGGGGCGTGCCAAGACAAATCAGTAGTGCAAAGGACCCCAGGAGTGGACGGGGCTAACTTCCGGCCCCTCCTCAGCCCCACCCCAGACTAAGGCGTGTCAATGTCCTGTCAGGCGGGACGGGAAACTAAAGGCGGCCGAGGAGGACGCATGCGTTTGGCGCGTTCTTCCGCTCAAGCGGTTAGAAGTGCTTCCGGGTCCCTGCGGGCTGCCGCCTACGGGCGCGGTAAGTACAGCAGATTGTGACTTGGTTTTTGTGCCCTTCCTTCCTCTTTTTTTCTGGAGAAATTTACTTCCTCTGATCTGTCTCTTCAGGGGATTCTTGTCCTCTTTTACCGTCATCGACCTCGAGCGCCTTGGCTGCTTCCTCGACACTAAGCCCCACCCTACAATACAAGGTTCGCCGTTCATTGGTGTCACTTCCTGTCACCCCACAGTTCTCCCAGCTAATTGGACCTTTTCAGACCCCGTTTGCAGGGTCTCCATTAGCTGCCCTATAAGGGCATACTCCTGCTTGGGTCCCCCCCACCATCTCTCTGTTGGTCAATCCCGTGGTCATTAGCATAATAAGCAAACAGCCCTTTGGAAGAATGGGCGGTGGCTTTTCGCCGGTGGGTTGGACTTTTGGAGCCATAATTTCAGGCTTCTCAGTACTTTGGATCGTTGAGGGGATTTGTTGTCGTGCATGTTGCGCAGGTTCACCACTGAGGTCCAGAGAAGGGTAGCAGTTTGTTCCAGATCAAGCAAACGAATTAGGGCAAAAGGAGAACTAGACAGAGGTCTTCCTCTGTTGTTCCTCTCCTTTAGTGCTCTTTTCCGCGGGAGTTCTGAGCCCCTACTTTGTGGTCTACAGCCAAATCCCTGCTTCACTTTGGGCCTCAGTTTTCCTCGTCTGTGAGCTGAAGGGTTTTACCTTAGACTCCGAGACTTAACTGGTCGGCGCTCCCAGCCGCTTGGAGTTGAATTTACTTGATTTTGTACATGCTTATCCAGTCAGTCTCTCATCTGTTTCTTTATCCATGTATCAACTCATTTACACATCTAAAATAGCCACCTGAACCCCTCCTTGCATGTAGTGCTCCATTTGGCTCTGGTGCGTTAGATTGGTGATTACAAATCCCAAATTACTGACATTTGGTGGGTGTGAGATGATGTGGCCCATCACAGAGGTGAAGAAAATGTATTCTAGTTTGAAGGAAATAGCAATACCTGCTACAGACACTTGTAATTTTAATCTGAATTCCTATTTATGTTTGTCTCTTCCAAGAGCCTACAAGAGATTTTTTATCTGTAATTTTATTTAATTATCAGAATAACTAAAAAGATGGTATTAACATTATTCATTTTACAGAAGAGGAAACTGAGGCTTAGAGAGGTTAAATGACTTGGCAAAGGTCAAATAGCTAGTAAATGATGGAACCAGACTCAAATTAACATCTGTCTAATTCCCAAAGCCTAGAAGTATTTTTCCCCATCTCCACATCAAATAACACTCTTCAGATCAGAGTTGGATTCATTTGATCCTTTCCCTTAGTCTAGGAGCCATGTCTACTTTGTTTCCCTCACTCTTTCCCCGTGTGACGGAGACACTCTGGTTTAATCTGGATCGACCCTGTGTGGAGGAGACGGAACTGCAACAGCAGGAACAGCAGCATCAAGCTTGGGTGAGTGAGGATCTAGCCTGGTATGGAGTAGTCTGTCCCCTCTCCACTGGCACGTGACCCAGCCTTGCAGTAGAGACCTGCCCTAACGTAGTGGTTTGCCCTGAACTGAGAGCCTGGGGACCTTGGTTCTCATTTTTGCTCTGCCCTGAGTTGCTAGAGGACCAAATTGGAGCCCCAGGCTTCTGACACTCAGCCCAGGATCATTTTCCTAAAGCACAGGAAATAATAATTTTGATTGTTTATTGAGGACCTAGCAGATGCTAAGTTCTAGGCTAATATTCTCTCACTTTACCCTTCCTATAATCCTGTAAGGAAGCCAAAGCCTGAGAATTTAAATAGTTGAATCAAGTTCATAAGTAAGTACGAGATGATAAGAAAGGAGGAGGTTAAATCTTCTTCTTACAAGAAGTGTCTCTCCCACCATATGAGAGGGAGGAGTGGGGGTGGGGTATCTTCCTGACAGTAGACTGGGACAGTCCCATGTTCCTTTATTGTCCCCTGGATCTGTTCCACTCTCCCCTTTCAATAGCTCCAGAGCATTGCAGAAAAAGACAACAACCTGGTGCCTATTGGCAAGCCGGCCTCAGAGGTAAGAGACTCCAGCATTTGGGGACAGTGTGGTGTAGTACTTGGGGGAGGCTAAGGCTCTGCCCTAATTTTGACGTTCCTGTTCCTGCATGAAGGCCAGAAAGAGAGGTTAGGAGGGATGGGTGCAGGTGCTAATGGAGTACTGGCCCTTTGTCCCCAGCATTAAAGTCTTACAGAACATGTACCAGCCTATTAGATTTAAAGTGAGCAGAGTTGGGGAATTTAGAGTCAGTCTCTGGCCCGAGGGTCAAAGTGGATCAGCCTTTGAACTGGTCTGAGCAGACTGATAGGTCCCACGGTCTCACAAGCTCTCTTATTCTCCATTAGCACTATGATGACGAAGAAGAAGAAGATGATGAAGATGATGAAGATAGTGAGGAAGACTCAGAAGATGATGAGGACATGCAGGACATGGATGAGATGAATGACTACAATGAATCACCTGATGATGGAGAGGTCAATGAGGTAGGCAGGGGTGTACCCAAGTGCCTCTGCTCCTGGGCACCCTTCCTCTGACCTAATTGGTGGATAGGGAATATAGAAACTCTAGATCCAGCTGGGGGCAGAGTGAATGAAGCCCTTGGCCCTGGGCTGGCTGGGCGGAAACTCCTACATCCTTTCCTTCCTCATCAGTTGCCCCTGTGGACATGGAAGGCAATGAGCAGGATCAGGACCAGTGGATGATCTAGGTAGACAAGACAGAAGTGTCTTCAGGAAGATCCCGCGCCAGTCCGACCCATCCTGCACACCCCTGCAGAATCAGCTGACAGCCTCAGTGCCTGAAAGCTTAACCTTGGACACCTCCTCAGCTGCTGCCAGGACGTCTCCTTGGCCTCTTCAAGGCCATCAGCCTGCTCTTGAATCCCTAAGGCCTGACCTCACCCCACCTTCCTGGCCAGTGCCTCTTCCATTGGCTGCCAGGTCTAGTCTACTTTAACTCTCTTTAATAAAGACATAGGACTGATCTTGCCCTCCTGTCTAATCTGTATTTGTTGGTAAGGCCTAGGAAACTTGGGCTTTGGAAAGAGGGTACTGAAGGAACTCGAAGCAAGACCTAACTGGTCGGGTAGGCAAGGACTGAGGAAAGCTCCTATGCCAGGCTGCACCCAGGCCCTTCTTCAGGGCTTCTAACTCAATGTTTGCTGACTGTCTGGTTCCACCTAGAATGGCATAGACTAGGAATAAGTAGCTTTCTAAGAGTTAGAGCTGGGAGGTCCCCACCGTTCTCTTAGTTACCTTCCTTGGTGGTAGGAGAAGATTAATTTTCAGAGACAGGTAGGCACTCTCCTAAAGTCACCAGTAAGTTGGTGACAGCTGGGTTGAGAGACCTTTTGCATCTCAACCATGGCTCACTATGGAAAGAAGGGAACCAGTGTGACCAAACAGTCTGACAGAATTTTTCCCTTGAGGCCCTAAGCCCAGCATGTGTCAGACCACAAACAGGGAGGGGAGGATATGTTTGAAGGTTTTTGTTGGATGGGGCGGGAGACAACAGTAAGTACCCCTGAGCCTGAAACCTCACCCAGGTCCAGCGTAGGTAAGCTGGGCTATGCCATCCTTGATGGCAGGGAAGTCTGGGAGATTAGTGTGATGGAGGCGGCAACGGTAGCGGCCACAGCTCTTAGCATACTGCAGGAAGCGAGGTGCACCAGGGAAGAGCACGTGGTCGGCCAGCACAGTGGCACCAGCTGACAGCAAGGCATGAGCCTCAAGGAGCTGCAGGTCTCGAAGGTAATACCGGGGCCGGTGTGCCAGGAGTACCAGCTCAACCCGGCTTAGCTCATGCTGTGTTCGCAGGCGCGGGATCACCTCTTCAGAGCTACCCACGATAAGCTCCACCTATAGGGGTGGGTGGGAAGATAGGAAGTAAGGTGAGGTGAGAGGAAATGCTCCCTGGCCCTATACCCTACCTAGATCTGGCTTGCTTCGTGCCAGTGTTCCATTTTTCTCTCTGAACTCAAAAGTCAAGACAAGCATTCCCAGTCTCCTATGAAGAAGCTGAAGTTCAGAGGGTAAAAACTTTACCTTCAGCACACAGCTAACAAAAGAGAGAGCTAAAATTTGGACCTAGATTTTCCGGATTCCAGATTTAACAGCTTCTCTGGTGCCTCCTAGAAAATACCTGCAAATGACTTGGGACAGGAGAACCTGAGCTCACTAACCCACCCTCAGGACAAGACCCCCCCCAGATGGAACTCTTCCCCTTCTCCCTACATGGGGGCCCCTCACAGAGGAGGCCTGGCCAAGGCAAAGGCCTGGGGTGGCAGAGACAAGACAGGATTGAGGAGATAAGGGCTGACCATTTGCTCATCCAAGCCAGCCAGGCGGATGAGTTTTTCAGCCACTGCTGCTGTGCGTGGGTCCCGTTCCACAGTGAGAAGGCGGCCACCAGGGGGTAGGGCACGGGCAATAAGCAGTGTGGAGTATCCACAGTAGGTGCCAAGCTCTAGCACGCAGATGGGGGCCTTCTCTTCCACCAGCCGTGTCACAATCTGGCCTATGGGGAGAGAAAGCTGTTGCAGAAGACCTGGGAGTGGTTGCTGAACCTCTGATTGATAGAGATCTCAAATGCCCACTTGCTTAAATGGAGGCCCCAACCAATTGGGATCCCACCTTTCTTCTGGACTACAGCCCAACTACCCCAAAGTCCCTTGGCTTTCTCCCAAATTTATCTCCTCTAGTTGTCACCAGCCACTAAGAATCTTCTAACAAATCTCACATGTCGTAATCTGGTTTTCATGATTCTAAAGGCTCTTGAAACTGAACTTGGGATCCTCAGCCTGACATTCAGACACTCCTAAAATCTTAACCTATTCTCTTTCCAGCCTCAGGTCTTGACTGTTTTCATCTGTATCCCCATACCTCATCTCAAAACAGCTGTCAAGAATCACCTATGCTACATTTGTGTATGTGGTTGACTTTGTTCTTTCTCAACCTTGCCCCAGTGTGCCTGGCCAACTAAAAAGCAGTCTTTCCAGGCTCAATTCAAATGTTGCTTCCTCTAGGACGACCCAGGCAAAAGAACCAGTCCATCTTCCAGGCTCTTGAGAGGGCTTTGCCATACCTTCTTATTTCATTCCCCTTCTGTTGTTCATTAAACAGCTGATCTAAGAATTTCTTAACTAGGCCTCAATGAGAGCTCTCTGTTGGCCTAGTAGATAGAAAGTCATGCTACCAAGCCAAAAGTAGGAGGATTTTAATCTGCGGCCCTTAGGCCAGCTTTTAATTGTTTTTGTTCAAACATTCTTCTAGGTGGTATAGCACTGGTCTGTCCATTTGCTGTACAGAGGTAACTTGTGGTTGCTGTGAAGCTGAACACTGTGACACTGATGTGTCAAATGCAATAATGGTTACCCATGGTGGACAGTGTTTGGTGGAGCTCCCTGATTTAAAACAAGCTTGGAAGCAGGAGTGGCATCCACTTCCAGAATAGCTTGCCTTTGGAAACTCTATGAATGTGGAGAAACAACGGAAGTTATACAAGTGTTCAGGTCTTTTGTTCATGGGGGTGCTATGATGGCACTTAACAACAACAACAGGCCTCTTAAAATACTTGTGCTGAAAGCTGGGATTCAGATAAATTCAGGCAGACTACTACCACATACTTTGGTCATGTAGCCAGGAGGGGCCTGTCTTTGGAGAAGGATATGCTTAGAAGAGTCGAGGGACAGCACAAAAGAGGAAGACCCTGGATGAGATGGATTAACACAATAACTGGGGTAATGGGGGTGGGTATGTCAGAAACAGTGAGATTGACTCAGGATAGAGCAGAGTTCAGAGCTATTGTGCATTGAGTCACTGTGTATTCTCAATGACTCAACAGCACATAACCGCAATAACTACCCTGAAGTGGTGAGGAAGAGACAGGGGGGAGGGGGATTGGGGGGATTTTAGAAAACCAAACTATGGGATATATGTTGTGATGGTTATTCCCTTTGAGAGAGCTCTGGTGGCCTGTTGGGTAGGGAGCTAGGCTGCCAACCCAAAAGTGGGGTGGTTTGAATCCACCAACTGCTCTGAGGGAGAAGGATGAGCAATCTCCTCCCATGCAATTAACTCCCTTTGAAAACCTACTGGAGGATCAGCTGTGGGTGAATTCTGATTCAATGGTAACCAGTGAATGAGTGAGTCTCTTTGAGATCAGCATCTGTGGCTCATACATCCCTTTGGCTTCTCCTTGCTTCTGCCTTAGCATCTAGCATATCCCTAGTATAAAAAAGGAGGAAGTAAATGCTTGCTGAATGTATAAGTGAATGTCTCCTCATTTCCAGATGAAACAAACAAAAAAAAGACACCCCAGAGAGTAAAAAGAACCTGCTTAATTTACACAGTAAGGCAAGCGTAGATCCTAGGCCATTTTTCTTTCACCATCTTGAGGAGGCTTCTTAGAGTAGAAGACTAGGATACACTGACCTTTGATAGGCCCCATGTGGCCTAGGTATTCACAGCAGCTGCTCCAGTGGTCCAGGGTGGTGACGATGTGACCAGGGTCCCCAGGCAGTGCATGGGTTAGTACATAGCTGAAGGCCCGCTCCTCAATCCGTAGCCCTGACAGGCAGTCCCGGAGGCTTCTCAGCAAGACTGTGCGCATCAGCAGCCGGAAGTGGTGCCGGTACCTCACTAGCAATGTCACCACCAATGGCAAGAAGGCCAGTGCAATAGCAGGGGACATGGTCCCCACCTGGGCCCTGCAGTGAGACAGGGAGGAAAGGAGAAAGGAAAACGCATACTCACTCCCAGCGTTTGTGCAATTATCCCTTTCCCCCTCCTTTATCCCTGTTCTCTCAGGGTTTCCTGCACAAATGTGTACACACAGAGACACCCCACACTTTAACATATCTCTTCAAGGTGAGGATTGAAGGCCTTTTCCCTTCCTATTCCCTATACCTCCCTCAATCTCAAATCTGAATGTCCAAGGACCATGGCGGACATGGAGCCTAAAGATGCAAGTGAGACTGTGTAAATGGATGCAAAGAGGTCATTGATGGTAAACTTGAGGCGATATGAATGAGAACCCATATTTAAGAGCCCTGCTTACCTGGGCCAGAAGCTTCAGTGTGGGGAAGACCAGTGCAGAGGACAGGAAGAGGAGTCCTTGGGGTGGGGAAGAACCGTGAGGCAGGAGGCTGGACCTGTTCTCAATTATTGATGCTGAGGCTGCTGCTGTCACCTGAGACTTGTAGTTCACATTACTAGCTCCAGGGAAAGACTGGAGCTGCCTCCTACATGTCAGGAGTCCTCAAAGAACCTACAAAACACCAGGGCCTTGATTTGAAGGATAAGAACTGGTGTATTTAGAGAAGGTACAGCCAGGGTTCTCCTTAGAGGGAAAGATGATGAAATATCAATACTTCAGATAGGTGGTTAAAAGAGGCCTTGGTAAAGGACATTATGCTTGGAAAAGTAGAGGGTCAACGAAAGAGAGGAAGATCCTGACTGACACAGTGGTTGGAGCAATGGGCTCGAGTATAGCAGGGATGGTATAGATGGTGCAGGATAGGGCAGGGTTCAGGTCTGCTCTTTATAGGGTCACTGTGAGTCATGATTGGCTCATAACACCACCACCTAATGGCACCTAACAACAACAACAACCAACCTTTTCCTTGGGGAGATGGGGGATCATGTGAGCCAAAGTGATGGAGAGACTGTACTTGCTAATTACTTCAAAACTCAAGGTTTTTTTGAACCAGTGCTAGAGTTTGAATCACAGGAAAGAGTCAGATTCTGTCCCTGTCGTCGAGGAACTCCCTCTTTGGTAGAAGAGACTGACTTCTCTCAGGAATAGAGAATGAAACAGTGTGATCATTAGACTGAATATTTTGAGAGTCCACACCATTTTATGTGATCATTAGATTGGATACTCCAGGAGTACAGACCATTTTGACCATTTTTTAAACCATTTTCTAACTGCTGCATAATTCAGAAATTTAACAGGAGGTGGTTTCATTAGAATACTAGCTTTGAGTGACAAGGTGGGGTGAGATGCATCTTTCCTGATGTTCTTTTATTGTTGTTAGGTGCTGTCAAGTCAAGTACGAATCATAGGAACTGTGAACAACAGATCTGAACCCCATCCTGTCCTGTGCCACCTGCATCATCTCCAACATACTTAACATCCTTTGCTGCTATCATTGTGTCAATCCATCCCATTGAAGATTCCCTCTCCTTCACTCTTGAGCCCTCCACCTTTCTTGGCATGATGTCCCGTTCCAAGAAATAGTCTCTCCTAGTAACATGCCCAAAATATGTGAACAAAGCATCACTATCCTTGCCTCCATGGAGCACTCTGGTTGTACTTTTTCCAAAACATATCTAGGTGCAACCACTGTGGAAGGCAGTATGGCGCTTTCTCAAAAAGTTGCAAATAGAGATACCATTCGATCCAGCAATTACACTACTGGGAATATACCCCCAAAGAGACCATAACTGACATCCAAACAGATATGTGCACACCCATGTTTATTGTGGCTTTGTTCACAAAAACAAGGAGTTGGAAACAACCTAAGTGCCCATCAACAAATGAATGGATAGAGAAGCTGTGGTATATTCACACAATGGAATACTCTGCTGCATTGAAAAACAAGGAACTCATGCAATATTATTCAAAATGGGTGACCCTGGAGGACATTAGGCTGAGTGAAGTATCTCAATCACAAAAGGACAAATACTGCATGGTGCCACTGTTGTAAAACAGGACTGACCTCAGAGTTGGAGGGAGACTGAGAAAGATGTGTTCACTAATGTATACTGCATTGAAATAGGGGAGGGAGAAAACTGTTTAAGAGGTATATGTTATTAGGTATTTTTGTCATGACAGGAATCTAGAGCAAAGGCTCTATAGTGGAGTGGACCTGGGGGGAGGGATTGTAAAACAATGAAAGAATTTTACTTTTCCAAGAGTGTAGTATACTAGGGGGAAGGGTTGGGAGGGGAGAAAAGTGCAACAATGAATGAATGGAAATCCAAACTCTTAAGTTTTCATTGAAATCAAGAATAAATGTTTTTTAAAAAAATATCTATTTGTTCTTTTGGAAGTCCATGGGATATTCAGTGCTATTCTCCAACACCACAACTCAAAATTATCAATTTTTCTGTCATTTTTATTGTCTATTACCAAGACCATGGCCTGTATCAGATGCATCTTAGTCTACAAACTGCTATCATTGCTGTTGTTATGTGCTGTCAAGTCACTTGAGACTCATAGTGACCCTGTGTACAACAGCTCTGAACCCTGCTCTATCCTGAGCCAATATTATTGTCTCTGACACACTTTCCCCCATTACCTCAGTCACTGAGTTAATCCATCTCATCCAGGGTCTTCCTCTCTTACTCTGTCCCCTCCAGCCTCCCAAGCATAATGTCCCTTTTCAAGGACTGGTCCCTTCTTGCAACTTGCCCAAAGTATGTCAGATGGAGCTTCAGAACTCTTGCCTCCAAGGAGGAGCCTGGTCTCACCCTCTCCAAGATGAACTTGTTTGTTCTCCTGGCAGTGCATGGTATATTCAATCCTCTTTTCCAGCACCACAGCTCAAAGGTGTCAATTCTCCTTTTGTCATCCCTAGTCATTGTCAAGCTCTCTGATGCATAACATGTAATTACGAACACCATGGCCTGAATCAGGAGCATTTTAGTATCCAGACTGACATCGTTGCTTTTCAGTACTCTGGAGATGTCCCTGACAGCAGACTTTCGCGATGCAATTAGTCTTTTGATTTTTCTGGCTTGCTGATTGTGAATGTTGATTGTGGAGCCAAGCAAACTAAGGCTGTTAACAATCTCAGTCTCTTCACTATCTATCATGATGCTGCCAATCAGACGAGTGGTAAAAATCTTTGTGGGTTTTTTTAAAATTTTTTTTTATTTGTGTACCATCAAATCAGATCTGCCTGGTACAGGAGGAGATTGTCCCTCCTTCTCCAAGAAAGCATCTGTTGGATTTGAACTGTGCGCCTCTGGGATTGCAGTGCAGCAAGAATCCTTGTTTTCTTGATGTTGAGCTTCAATCCATATTGAAGGCTGCAATCTTTGATCTTCTGCAGCAAGTGCTTCAGGTCCTCCTTAGTTTCAGCAAGCAAGGTTGTGCCATCTGCATAACACAGGTTCTTGATGATGAGTCTTTCTCCAATCCTGATGCCTCATTTCTCTTCAGTAATTTGGAAATGTCCTTGACAGCCAACTTTCCCAGTACAATGTATTTCCTGATCTCATGACTCCTGGTACCAAGGATGTTGATTGTGGATCCAAGTAAGATGAAATCATTGACAATTTCAAACATTTCTCCATCTATCATGATGTTGAATGGTCAGGCTTGATGTCCTGGGGGAATTTAATGTCCATCTATAGTTTATAAGATCATTATAATAGTTATACTACGGCTCCTATCACTTTAAATGTTCAATTAGGATAATGAGAAGTATGAGGGCCAAAATTAGTGTGAAGTAAACCATTGAAGTTAATTGGCTAATGATGTAGGGGTGTTCTTCTGGTTGTCCTCTGACCCATTTTATCTTCCAGTTCACTACCTTTGAATCTATTAACATTTACATGGTTAATATCTATTAGCAAGTGTCTGGCTGATAAGACTCTCCAGTGGAGTTCTCAACCTGACCTGGAAATCTGACTTCATGGAAGAAGTAACAGTCAAAACGAAGGAGAGCTCAGTCTGGTTGAGGAGGTGAAGGTTGCCTTACCGGAAGTGCCCTCAGAAACTTAACACTGAATAGGGATTAAGCAAAGAAAGTTAATGGTGTCAGAGATGGCAGTCAAGAGGATGTCATGTGTTTTTTGAGTTTTGAAGCTAGAAGATAGATCTGGTAAGACAGTGCGCTAGGCCTCATGTGCAAAATCAAGGTCCAAATTCCTTTCCTACAACTGTTTAAAGAAGGATGCCCTCATGGCTTGGTGTAGTAAGCAAGTGTCAGGCCCTGCCAGTTTTAGGATAGGAGGTGGAGCTCCTGTTCAGGGCCCAAGAAAAAGCATGAGATTTTCAGAAAAAAAGTACTGATGGTCCAATTTTGTGTTTGACAGTCCTCTTCATTCAGATTGAGCTCTCCTTCGTTTTAACTGTCACATCTTCCATGAAGTCATATTTCAGGTCAGGTTGGAAACTCCGTTGGGGAGTCTTAGTGCATCCCATGACTCAGCGTCGGTAGTCTGAGGGCTATGTGTGTGTCCCAGACTGTGCTCTTTCCCCTCACACAGAATTAAAAAGATCATATCAAGTCTATATTTGGAATAGATGTTTGCTTTCTGGTCCGAAAAGGTGGCCTCGAGGGCTTGCAGTCAACTAGTACAGTGTCAGTTTCTCCCTGTGGCGAAGGATTATTTAGGAAGGGGAAGAAGTTTAAGTCATATGATCCTCCCCTCCCTTTTCTCACATCGCATGCCTGGTGTCTTGTCACACAGAGAGCGCGTTCCCATTGGTTGGTGATGATCACGAGTTGGTGATGATCACGGACCGGAAGCAGAGGCTGCAGAGGTTGCTGGAGATAGAAGCCAAGGATAGGGGTGGAGGCGGTGTTTGCCTGTGGGAGGCAACCAATGGTCATGTGACCGGAAGGGTTCCTGACGGACGCCGTCGCTGCTCGGCGCCGCCTGAGCGCCCGGCCCGACCCCGGCCATGGGGTGCTGCTACAGCAGCGAGAACGAGGACTCGGACCAGGTGCGGCCGCGGCGGGCGGCGGGCAGGGCTCGGGAATGAGGGCTGAGACCCTAGGGCATGGGGCCAAAAAAAAAAAAAAATGTTGCAGAACAAGGTGAGCTCGACTGCAGGGCTCAACAACTACGGAGGCCCGAAGGGGACAGGTTACAGAAGAGACGCTGGACCGGGCCCATCGCCCAGGTCTGCACTGTGCCAGCGTAGAGGTGTGTAGGCAGTCCTTGTTGGCGCACGCTCCTGCTCCCTCCAGCTCCTGTCTATACAACCTTTTACAGTTCTAAGGAGCCTCAGCCTAAATCCCTTAGAAGCACACTCGCTTGTCGGTTTCCTGTGCCATATATTAACAAGCTTTGTGAATTCATTGTAGAGTAGGTAAGCTGAGCCCCTCGTTAGCCGGTAAGAAGATGTATCAAGATTTGGGGTATCCTTTCAACCCTTCAGGTAGAAGAAGGACGGTCACAGCTACTGTTGGGGTCAAAGAGGAGGACCTCTGCAAGTTTGTGGCGTTTGAGTTAACCAATGAAAGTTTAATCTTGTATATAGATAAAAGAAGATATCCTAACCTGTGGGAAATTCTTTGGGAAACAACAAATCAGATTTAGTCCCATGGACTGCTGAAAGAACAACAAAGAACTTTCTTGGAGAAAGTGCAGCCAGGGTGCTCCTTAGAGACAAGGATGTTGAAACTTCATCTCATATTTTGAGCATGTTTGGAAGGGGCTGTCTTGTTGTTAAGTGCCGTTGAGTCATTGGCGACTCAGCGGCCCTATGAACGAAAGACCTCTCAACACTTGCGTAACTTTCATCCTTTCTCCAGGTTCACAGGGTTTCCGGAGGCAAGCTATTTACGGAAGTGGATGCCACTCCTGCTTCCAAGCTTGTTTCAACCGGGAATCCCCACCAAATACTGTCCACCACGGATAACCATTAATGGCTTTTGACACATCAGTGTCACAGTGTTCAGCTTCACAGCAACCACTAGTCCTTAGAAAAAGACATCATACTCGGAAAGGTCAGCAAAAGAGAGGAAGATCCTCACGGAGATGGATTGACATGACTGTAACAATGGCTCAAATATATCCGAAATGATGAGAATGGCACAGGATAGGGCAACAAGGTTCAGATCCATTATTTAAAGGATAGATTTGAGTCACAGTCAACTTGAAGGCAGTTGACAATAAGAGATTGGGGTGAGGAGAGAAAATCAGATGGGAAAGGGAGCTTATTTGGTACTGAACTTTTTCCTTAGTGCCTCTCTAGTCCTGACAGTGTCTCTAGTTAGAGGTGCCTATCTTGAGGATTTAACTGTAGATCTGACACCAAAGGAGAGTGGGGAGACATACACAGTTTTGGTTCGTTGTTTGGGTTCTTTTGCCATTGTGTGTAGACACATGTACAGTTTTAAGTTATTGATCCTTTTAGTGAGTTTTTACTTCTTTCCTCATTAAATTCCTGCCCTGCCTTATCCTTTAATGAGAAATAGACCTTTCACCAGATCATGTATCAATCTGCTGGCCAGTTTTTTAAAAAAACTGATTCTGTGGGTTTTTTAAGGGAGTATTGGGGGTCTGCTGACCAGAGAGTTGTACTGCTAACCCAAAAGTACTGCCTTGCTGGTGGTTCAAA